GTTCAATACAGGGCACTTTACATCCCTTCCTGCCCAGGCCAACTTTCGGCTCTCAGTGCTGTAGTACTTTGAATAACAATTGCGCGGTCATGCAACACTGTACCAAAATGACAATTTTTATAATTTTTTTCCACACAAATAGAGCTTTCTTTTGTGTTTAATCATCGCTGTTTTTTTTTATTTTTTTGCTCAATAAATGAAAAAAGACCACACATTTGAAAAAAAATGCATTTTTCTTCGTTATAATTGTTTTGCAAATAAATAATTGTTCTTCATAAATTTAGGCCACAATGTATTCTGCTACATTTCTCTGGTGAAAATAACCCAAATCAGTGTTTATTATTTAGCCTGTAGGAAAGTTATAGAGCCCACAAACTATGGTATATATAAATATCTAAGAACTGTCCTAATGTACTGACTGCCTATCTCATTTCTATAAAAATAGCAGGACAGCATCAATATCCCCCAAATGACCCCTTTTTGGAAAGTAGACATGAAGTGGCATGGCGAGTTTTTTGAAATTGTAATTTTATGTCATAATGTTTTGGAAAATGAAGAAATTTGATGAAGTGTGATGGTGATCAGGGACAGTAAGAAAGAAAAATAATATTTACTTTTTTTTAAAACTGTATTTAATTTTTTCTCTTTTTTAATGATTTTTTAAAAAACAACTGTAACCACCAGAGCAGTATAATGTTACCATAGTATCATTGTACTACTCTGGGGAAGTGATCAGTATTTTTTTTTCTTTTTTACAAATTAAGATTGCCATAGCAGAATTTAATTGCTATAAACAAGCATTTTACTAAATGAAATTAATGTATTCAGTTTGTATTGTTGTGATTAGCTGTGATTGGCCACAAGACCCAAAGGGCCTGGTACAGATTTAGGGGGGACCAGCATTCCATTTTTTTTTTTTTTAGAAAAAAAATATGATGTCAGAACTTTGGCCGTTGGCTGACAGCATTGATGAGTCACTGGCAGAGGCGGACTGACAACTCATGGGGCCTCAGGCAATAGGGGATCATGGGGCCCCTGTGTCCTTGCCTACACTCAAAGCACACCCAAAAAAGCCTATAAAAAGGTACCAGTGGCATTTCATGGGGCCCCCTACTGATCCCGGGCCCTCGGGCAGTGCCCGAGTGCTCGAATGGTCAGTCCGCCCCTGGTCACTGGTTGTCAGGACGCTAGCAGGTGCCAACCAATGCAAAAATGGTTAAAAAAACGAATGCAAAAATGGACGTTGTTCATTTACATCCGTTTACTTCCATTCAGTCTGTTTAAAAAAATGGACCTGAATGGATGTGGATAGAGGCAGACTGACCATTCGGGCCCTCAGGCAATGCCCGAGGGCCCGGGGTCAGTAGGGGGCCCCATGAGATGCCCCTGGAGCCTTTCATAGGCTTTTTTGGGTGTGGTTTGAGTATGGGTGAGGACATTGCCCGGGGGCCCCATGAGTTGTCAGTCCGCCCCTGGATGTGGATGTAAAGGGATGATCAATCAATGGATGAAAACAGACAGATGGAATGTCCATGTAAAAGGGGTCTTAGACTACCGTTTGTGGTGCAGTAATTGAAGCATATTTTTGTGGCTTATGTATGCTGTGTATACACTGAGTTGGCTCAGTTTTTTTGTTCAACCATTGGCCCTTTAAAGCAGGGGTTTCAAACTGGTGGCCCTCCAGCTGCTGCGAAACTACAAGTCCCATCATGCCTCTGCCTTTTGTAGTCATGCTTGTAACTGTCAATCTTGCAATGCCTCATGGGACGATAATTTGACACCCATGCTTTAAAGTGTTACTAAACCCACATTAGTAAAATCAGTCTTTATATACAGTAAAGCATGCTCATTATATTCACTTTGGAACCTAAGGAGTTAATCCTCTGCATTGTGTAAAAACGCTGTTTGATCCTGTCTTCTTTGATCCTCCCCTTCTTCCAGTGCCCCCCCTCTTATCTCCTGATAAGACATATCGTGTGGAGATACTCTGCATATGCTCAGTTTGGTGCGTATTGCTAGAGAGGTTTTTTTTTTCTTTGGGAGAGTGCATATGATCAGCACAGGGCCAATCAGAACTGTCCAGACAGAGGTCACGTGTTTTGCATCCTCCTAGAGCAGAAATAAAAGTCCTCCTACAAGCTTTAACCAGTGCTCTGCTGGACACTGATAGAAGTCACAAGACTGCTCTAACTGCTGATGAGAACAGGGATTTAGCAGTTTATATTTACTATAATAATTGCAGTTCCATGGTGTGTGTACTGTGGGAGAGCAGATATAATGAATGCAGAGTCCGGGGAGACAAGATATAGTGAATGCAGGGTCCAGGGAGAGCAGATATAGTGAATGCAGGGTCCGGGGAGACCAGATATAGTGAATGCAGGGTCCGGGGAGACCGGATATAGTGAATGCAGGGTCCGGGGAGACCGGATATAGTGAATGCAGGGTCCGGGGAGACCGGATATAGTGAATGCAGGGTCCGGGGAGACCGGATATAGTGAATGCAGGGTCCGGGGAGAGTGGGATATAGCGAATGCAGGGTCCGGGGAGAGCGGATATAGTGAATGCAGGGTTCTGGGAGACTGGATATAGTGAATGCAGGGTCTGGGGAGACCAGATATAGTTAATGCAGGGTCCTGGGAGACCGCATATAGTGAATGCAGGGTCCTGAGAGACCACATATAGTGAATGCAGGGTCCGGGGAGACCAGATATAGTGAATGCAGGGTCCTGGGAGACCGGATATAGTGAATGCAGGGTCCGAGAAGACCAGATACAGGGAATGCAGGGTCTGGGGAAACTAGATATAGTGAATGCAGGGTCTGGGGAGACCGGATATAGTGAATGCAGGGTCCAGGGAGACCAGATATAGTGAATGCAGGGTCCGGGGAGACCGGATATAGTGAATGCAGGGTCCGGGGGAGACCGGATATAGTGAATGCAGGTTCCTGGGTTCAGTAACACTTTAACCCCCTCCAATGTTAGTGCCGTTTGATTACCCCAAATAATGTGTGTGTGTGTGTGTGTGTGTGGGGGGGGGGGGGTGAAGGGGGTGCTAAACCACGTCAAGTCCGGACACTTTCACCCCCCTCCTGTCCAGGCCAATTTTCAGCTTTCAGCGCTGTCACACTTTGACAATTGCACAGTCATGCAACACTGTACCCATATGAATTTTTTAGCATTTTTTTGAGACAGATAAAAACTTTATTTTGGTAGTATTTATTCACCACTGGGATTTTTTTTTTTTGCTATATAAATTAAAAAGTCCAAACATTTTGAAAAAAAAAGTGTTTTTATTATAACATTTTGCAAATAAATAATCTTTCTTCATAAATCTTGGCCAAAATGTATTCATCTATCTTTTTAGTAAAAAAAAAAACAGTTTATAACCAAAAATTTAAATTTTTCAAACATTTTTTTTTTATTTTTTAATATTGTTAGTTATGTTTTTTTTTTTTTTAACATACTGTCACCCTAGTAGTACAGTGTCACTCTAGTGACACTGTATTACTTCTGGGGGGTGATGAAGATTTTTTTTTTTTTTTTTTACAATGATTGCTTTTACACCCATAAAGGCTGTAAAAGCAATCATTTCTCCCTTCACTCTGGCTGCATTCCTGCAGCCATTGAGAAATACTGTGAGAGCTGTGATTGGTCACAGCTTGTCACATGGTACAAGGCTGTTGTGAATGGCCTTGTACCATGTGACCTCGGTGATCATTCACAGATTTCACAAGTAGTAAGCAATGATGTCAGGAAGTGACATCTTGTTTACCACTGTTCATGTGATCACTGATTGGCCAATCAGTGATCACATGAATTGGGACCTCGCACAGAGGTCCCGTACAGCGATCTGTGTTTACCGATCGCGGCGCCACACGCTCCCAGGTAGCGCACACAGGCAATGAATGCGGTGGGACGTTTAGAAATGTCCATGCACATCAGCAGTGCTCCCATCTGGCCGTTTATCGACATAGGCCGGACGGGAAGAGGTTTAAAAAAAAAAATGATGAGCCCCAGATATTCTAGAAATGAGCATAAACACCGATATAAAGAAAAAGTTTTTAAACCCCTTAAAAAACAATATAGACAGCGGACAAGTAAAAGTTCAAAATCTATCATGCTGAATAAATCTAGCAAAGTTTTGAGGTTCAAGCTCGGTGTCAATCCACAGGTAGGTGCTAGCGATTGCTTTGATTAAAAATAGTTTCTGCCGATGATTGCATTGCCCTAACTACACATATTGTATTGTACTTCCCCATGATGAAAGCTGCAAGTGGTAAATGCCAATCATTACAGGTTCCCGGAAAAGAGAGAAAAACGGCACAGCTAGCTCAGCAGTAGAGAAGCACATCTGCGTATCGGTGGGAAGAATGGATAGAAAAAATAACAATATCGCCCTTTCAAGTGAGGCTCTGGCCTTCTGTGTTCAGCTCAGTTATTCCATATTTATGTACTTCTGGACAGGGGCGGCTTTGGGCAATTATGTTTTACCGGTGCTGGTGAGATCCTAAATCCAGCGTTAGGAGGGATAGGGGTCTAGTATAGATGATTAGAATCGTCTGCAGCTTTGTTTACAAACAGGATGAAGCTGCGGGGAGCTGTCATTTTGCCGACAATTTAAACACGCTTTTTCTTTGTCAATGTCAGTTTTGCTGTAGTAGGTTGTATACATTGTACAGATGCACCACAGGGCCAGGGAATCCTCCAGGCTTGCTATGTAAAGAAATGTTACTTTTTATTGTTTGAATTTAACCGTTTTCGCCCCGCCCTATAGCAAAAATACTGCAACAGGGCGGCACGGCTGCGCAAAATCACCTATGTATCAGGGGCGGACTGACCATTTGGAAACTCGGGCACTGCCTGAGGGCCTGGGGTCAGTAGGGGGCCCCATGAGATGCCCCTGGTACCTTTTTCATAGGCTTTTTTGAGTTTGGGCAAGGACACAGGGGCCCCATGATCCCCTATTGCCTGGGGGCCCCATGAGTTGTCAGTCCGCCCCTGGTATGTATACGTGATTTTGCAGTTCCGGGCTATTCGCGGCCTCGGCTGTCAATCACCGGGTCCTGGTCGGTGATTACTTGCCGGGACCCGGTGATCGCTGAGTATCTCCGACGGGGGAGAGACCTGTATGTAAACAATACAGATCTCTCCCCTGTCAGCTCCTGCACACTGCTTTGTATTGCACGCAAACTATAGACAGAGAGCTTACAGTTTTCCTGAGCCTACCTTAAAGTGTTATTAAACTCAGGACCCTGCATTCACTATATCCGTTCTCCCAGGACCCTGCATTCACTATATCTGGTCTCCCCAGATCCTGCATTCACTATATCTGGTCTCCCCGGACCCTGCATTCACTATATCTGGTCTCCCAGGACCCTGCATTCACTATATCTCGTCTCCCCGGACCCTGCATTCACTATATCTGGTCTCCCAGGACCCTGCATTCACTAGATCCAATCTCCCCTGGACCCTGCATTCACTATATGTGGTCTCCCAGGACCCTGCATTCACTATATCTGGTCTCCCCGGACCCCCTGGACCCTGCATTCACTATATCTTGTCTCCACAGACCCTGCATTCACTATATCCGGTCTCCCCAGACCCTGCATTCACTATATCTGGTCTCCCCGGACCCAGCATTCACTATATCCGGTCTCCCAGGACCCTGCATTCACTATATCTGGTCTCCCAGGACCCTACATTCACTATATCTGATCTCCCACAGTACACAAAAAATGGAAATGCAATTATTTTAGTAAATATAAACTGCTAAATACTTTTTCTCATCAGCAGTTAGAGCAGTCTTGTGACTTCTAACAGTGTCCAGCAGAGCACATATTAAAGCATTTGCTTTTTTAAAACATAATTTCTGGCGCCTGTTTTGCGCATTTGCATGTATTTATTTGCATATTTGCTCACACAATATATTCTTAGGGAAAATGCATTAATATTTATGCTCATATGCGCGTATTTGCACACATTTCTGCGCACATGACATAAATTACTGACTAAAAATGCAGATTTTCCTATTTTTTTTCTTTACTGAGGAATACGCAGCACTTATTTATGCGCCTGTGTGCAAAGGCACATTGTAAGCAGGGGCGGACTGACAACTCATGGGGCCCCGGGCAATAGGGGATCATGGGGCCCCTGTGTCCTTGCCTAAACTCAAAAAAGCCTATAAAAAAGGTACCAGGGGCATCTCATGGGGCCCCCTACTGACCCCAGGCCCTCGGGCAATGCTCAAGTTTCCAAATGGTCAGTCCGCCCCTGATTGTAAGTAATGGGCTACAGTTTACCTTCACAAAAAAATGCTGTACTGAGCTTTTCCAAGTTGTAGTGTGCAAGAATACTAAACGTGTTAGGTAACACCTGGCCAACCAAGTAGCTGGTGGTGGCTTGGTGAAAGGAATAACCTTTTTGGGAGTAATATATCACCTGCCAGGTGATCTGGGCTCCCATGTGACATGGGCCCTGGGTGTTTGGTTGGATTCCTCAAGTACTAACCTGGGCCCTGTGTGAGGGGGATGCTTTGGGCAATAGCAATAAGATGGACCAGCGGGATGAGTCAGATAGGCGTTTGGTCTGTATTTGTGCATGTAATGAGGGAATGAGCGTGGCGCTGGATCCAATGGGAAGCAGGGGTGTATTTACCACAAGGCATTTGCCTAGGGCAGCATTTTTCAGGGGGGGGCAGCACTGCCCCTCGGAAGAAGGGACACACGCAGCATGGGGACCTGGTGGGTTCCAAGTTTCATGACGGTGTATGCACAGCCCGACCCTTGTTCCGGGGATGTCCAGAGCTGTGAAGGTGAGTGTCTCTCTTTCTCTCGCCATGGGGGATGGTGGCTGGTGTATGGGGTGGTAGTGGAAGGCTCTCTCGGGTGGGAGTCAGGGGTGTTGTTGGTCAATGTCAGGCTCTCTCTGTGGGGGGCGCTGATTTTTGTGTTGCCTAGGGCAGCACAAAACCTAAACACACCACTGATGGGAAGCCCAGAAGCTCTGTCTGTAGATGGGGACTCAGCTGAACTTGCTGGTCACGCGTTCTGGAAGTGAGTCACCATGCTTACATGCTCTTACATCAAATATATTCTAGTTTCCTTTTAAGCCTCCAACTCCTTTTGATTTCATATTGCACACTTCAGACAGAGCTACGAACAATAGGCAACTGCCCTCGATCATGAAACTCTCATCTTAAAAAGCAGTAGGTCTTTCTTTCGTCTAGAATCAACAGCACCCCCTGAGTAATCAGACGCCTTGGCCTCTTTGTTATTTTGAGATGACCTGATGTATAAACTGTTCTGGTTTTGCTTGATTTTTCCATAAATAGTCCTACAGAGACGAGTTTACTTTGCTTGCGGGATTGTTGTTCACCTGTAGTGATTATGAGCAGTTGAGGTGGACACTGAACAGCCAATTATTTCAGTGGTGCTATAAATGTTCTTATGTTGTGTTTATCGTTTTCCTTTGTGAGATTTTTATACTTTCCCTGTATGGACATCATTGTTGCTTGGCCAATTAGAGGGTCAATAGAGTACAGTACTCTTTGGATGTCAACAGCTGGTGTTAGCCCATCTCTGGTGAAATCATGTGATGGAGAGATCTCAATTATAACACACAACTTGTAACGGGGTCTAGATCCCTTTTATGGGAGGATCCCTTAGCATGTTGTCTGGGACCCTGGTATGACTGTGGGGCTGGACAAGTCGCTCTGCCTACGCCAATTTGTGAGGAGGTAGAATTGCCAGGTTGTGGGCGGGGGCGGGGTCACCCACCCAGGTTGTAGGCGGGGTCACCCACCCGTGCACATAGGGTTCTCTTGGATTTCTTATTGTGCTCATAAATACCAGGGACCAGGCAGTGCTGAAATCAACCTTTTGGCAGCACTCCAGCTTAGAGATGAGCCATACACTGTGTGCAGCAGTAAATGAGTCCCACTGTGAATGTATTGTCCTGTTTCCTTGCACTCCTTACTGCTGAGTATCATCTTTAGGAGGGACACCGCTGAGCCTGTACCCACTCCATCAGTCAGCATATTGTGACAGAAAGGGGTCCCGCCGGGCACCTGCGTAGACCTCGTGTGCTCTTTATTAACTCTTTCTTCTCTCCTGCACCATGCGGCTAGGCCGAGGGTTCCCATAACTCGGGTTTGGTCCTAGACTTAGGGAACCAACTGCTAGGGGAAGGAATCAGTTCACCGACACCCTATTACCGGAGGATCCCACACCCACACCAGGTACCATGCTAACAACTGTCTGTTGTACACGTTGCACTAGTTTCAGGTACCTATAGCAACTGCATTCTTCCTCCTACTTGTTCTTCCAAGTTAACCTTCAGTAGTGGCTTTGCTTCATACCCCAAATGTGCTTTTACTGACCCACGTTCTTTTTATACTCCATGAACCAACATGCACCCCTTTTAAGCAACTTCAGACCAGGCTGTAGAACACTTCAAAGAACTTTACTGAAACTTCTGCAATGATACAGAATAAAGTGGCACATAGTCCTCCTAACTAACTCTTCTTTGTCTACCCAGGCATACCTCAATAAGGAAAAATCCTTAACTGGCACAGTCCATAAATTGCAGGCTCCAGTAAGCAGGGCGCAACAGCTCTGCAGCTCAGAGCATCACAGCACAAGATGGCACCCGGCCCCACATTTTTCCCTAATATATTTCACACAGGGTATGACGCTTGGTCCAGAAAGCTTGGGAAAAGTGCACTAAACAATTAACCCCTGCCTAAGCCTGGGTCAGCTGGCTGTTCAGCTACTAATGTAGGCAACCTGCTTACATGCCCATCATTCTGCTTTCTTCGGTAATATGTAATGCCGTAGTCAGAGGGGTTGGTGGGTTGGGTGGACAAGACCCTGTGTTGGGAAGAAGGTTCTCTTTGGCTAGTCAAGGAACATCTGCACTACCATGTAAGCAACCTCTTGGTGGGCAGTTTCCCCCTTAGAAGAAAGCAATGAGATTCCCCTAGGAGAAGGAATTAGGAGGGTACACTTATTTTAGATGATAAAGATCATGGATTTATTTTGTGTATGCCAAGTGTAAGTGTGGGGAGTGCACAGACATGCAAACTTCTCCATGCAAATCTTCAAAAGGCAACCTTGGTTCTCTTTCCAGAGAGTGTGATTCTCCCAGTGACAGATGACAAAATTTTCTAAATAAATTTTCAAAATTTTCTAAATAAATTTTCTAAATAATTCAGATTGTTCTGCCAGATATTAGCAAGCATATAGACATGCCACCCATCCAGCACATACTCTATATTTGATGTATATTATGTATCTAGGCTTTTATGCATGCAAAACTGTATACTATATCCTAGACCAGGGGTCTCCAAACGTTCTAAACAAAGGGCCAGTTTACTGTCCTTCAATCTTTAGGGGGGCTGGACTGTGGCCAGCGGAAGTAGAAAAAGTCCTAGTGTCAGTGGCAGTAAAAAATGCCCCATGACTGGTAGCAGTGGGAGGCATATTGTCACACTATTGGTATCAGTGGGAGGGATAGTGCCCCATCATTGGTATCAGGGGAAGGAATAATGCCCCATCATTGGTGTCAGTGGGAGGATAGTGCCCCATCATTGGTATCAGTGGGAGGAATAGTGCCCTATCTTTGGTATCAGTGGAAGGAATAGTGCCCCATCATTGGTGCCAGTGGGAGGAATAGTGCCCCATCATTGGTATCAGTGGGAGGAATAGTGCCCCATCATTGGTATCAGTGGGAGGAATAGTGCCCCATCATTGGTATCAGTGGGAGGAATAGTGCCCCATCATTGGTATCAGTGGGAGGAATAGTGCCCCATCATTGGTATCAGCGGGAGGAATAGTGCCCCATCATTGGTATCAGTGGGAGGAATAGTGCCCCATCATTGGTATCAGTGGGAGGAATAGTGCCCCATCATTGTTATCAGTGGGAGGAATAGTGCCCCATCATTGGTATGAGCGGCAGGAATAGTGCACCATGATTGGCATCAGTGGGAGGAATAGTGCCCCATCATTGTTATCAGCGGCAGGAATAGTGCCCCATCATTGGTATCAGCGGCAGGAATAGTGCCCCATCATTGGTATCAGTGGGAGGAATAGTGCACCATGATTGGTATCAGTGGGAGGAATAGTGCCCCATCATTGTTATCAGCGGCAGGAATAGTGCCCCATCATTGGTATCAGTGGGAGGAATAGTGCACCATGATTGGTATCAGTGGGAGGAATAGTGTCCCATCATTGGTATCAGTGGGAGGAATAGTGTCCCATCATTGGTATCAGTGGGAGGAATAGTGCCTCATCATTGGTGTCAGTGGGAGGAATAGTGCCCCATCATTGGTGTCAGTGGGAGGAATAGTACCCCATCATTGATATTACTGGGAGGAATATTGTCCCATCATTGGTGTCAGTGGGAGGAATAGTGCCCCATCATTGATATTACTGGGAGGAATAGTGTCCCATCATTGGTGTCAGTGGGAGGAATAGTGCCCCATCATTGATATTAGTGGGAGGAATAGTGCCCCATCATTGGTATCAGTGGGAGGAATAGTGCCCCATCATTGGTATCAGCGGGAGGAATAGTGCCCCATCATTGGTATCAGTGGGAGGAATAGTGCCCCATCATTGGTATCAGTGGGAGGAATAGTGCCCCATCATTGTTATCAGTGGGAGGAATAGTGCCCCATCATTGGTATGAGCGGCAGGAATAGTGCACCATGATTGGCATCAGTGGGAGGAATAGTGCCCCATCATTGTTATCAGCGGCAGGAATAGTGCCCCATCATTGGTATCAGCGGCAGGAATAGTGCCCCATCATTGGTATC